AGCGTTGTCTCTCGTTATTTTTTTTAGCTAAGTTTGTCAATAAACCAAAGGTTCCTGGAAGGATGGCGTTTTACCTTCGCTCCTTAGAGGGTGCAGACCAGAGATTTTGGCTGCTATGAGCGCTGCAAGACACGGTGCTGGTGCGTCTGTCTTAACCCCTCGGGTGTGTATAGCTGTTATACTTGCATCAGTTACCGGGTATACCGGTGACAAGGGCACACCACGGTAATAGTTGTTGTTTGATTTAGAAGACATTCTTTATTTTGCGCGAAAATAAATAACGCAACAATAAGAATATATAAAGGCTGTAATATAAGGAAACTAGCCTTTACAAAAAAAATATTCAAAATGTGATTTGTCGTGATCGATTCACGAGGTTTTCTTTAAGCAATATCACTGTTTTTGGCCGTCGTGTCAGCACTGGCAAGCTTCTTAATAGTCACATTAGTGAGCGGATTAAAAGCCTTCTCACGAAAGCTCTTATGCTCACACGTACATGGATAAGAGAGGTTTTGGAAATAAGCTAAGGATGTAAATTTTCAGTAGTTCAAGCAAGAACACCGGCACGGGTTGTAAATACAATTTCTTAGTTTCTTGAATTTAACACTGCACTTGTGCAGCGTTCTTGGTGTGACGACCTGCTATGTCCGGGATTTGTTTATAGCGTCCTGGGGCGAGTAGGGTAAGTGTCACTACCATTTCATATTATTGTATTGTATTAATCTATGCACTAACACAGGCACACACGGGAGCACATTAACAAACGTCCGATCCCACAGGATCGGTAACTTCCCATCACTATATCCTTATCATATTAAATTAATACCCTATATACTAGTATACATTATTTCACTTTTAATAAAGCCCTTTTTTCCAATTTATTAGTAAATTAAAATTGTAATACCCTTGCAGAGGATATTATAATTTTGTCCGTCTGTTTGTTTCTATGCGAACTAGTGTCTCAGTTTAAAAGCTATCAATATGAAACTTTGCAGAAGTCCCGTTTTCTGTCGCAACACACATGTTAAAACCAGCTGGATCAGACCACTAGAAAAAACATTTTGTATTTCAAGATATCTTGACAAAACTCGGCAAATTTTAGTTTTACTGGCTCCTCATATAAAAGCAATATCCTATTAATATCGGACAACTATATCATATAGCTGCCATAGGAACGATCGGTCGAAAATTAAATTGTATGGACAAATTTTTGGTTTTTCACGATATCTTGACGAAACTCGGCATTTATTAGTTTAACTTTGCTCCTCATATATATGCATACTCATATCAACATCGGACCACTATATCATATAGCTGCTATAGGAACGATCGGTCGAAAACCAGGTTTTTGATTAAAAACCTTTTTTGTTTATCAAGATATCTTGACCAAACTCGAAATTTTCTATTTTCCCGGTAATTCTTAGATACGGGGTTGGGTCTGCAAGGGTATTAGATCTTCGGCGTGCCGAAGATAGCCCTTCTTTCTCGTTAACAATGTTTTGATTACATTTTGTGGGAGGTCATTTTTTGTCCAGAGTATTTTAATTCCATGTACAGTTTCTTTGTGGTATATTGTGTCCGATATGTGAAGAATTCTTTTAATACAGCCCATTGCTGTATTGACTAGCATACTCTTAGGGGGTTTAAATTTAAGTTGAGTATTCGTCCGGCGGCTATGTTGTTCGATCTACTTACTAAAGAGTCTAAGAATGGTAATTTCCCGTCGTTTTCTAATTGAATTGTGAATTTAATGTGTCTGTGGAACGAGTTCAATTCTTTCAGAATTTTATGTGCTTCTAAATTGTCCGTTATGGCAAACAGGTCATCTACATATTTGGTCAAGTCTTGGTTTTATTGTCAATTTATCCGTAATGTTGTCTAATAGTTTCTCCATCACTATATCTGCGATTACTGGGGAGGCTGGTGATCCCATTGGCATTCTTTTAGTTGTGTGTATTTAAAATATCTGTTTTGTATTTAAAATATCTGCTTTTCTGTATACCTATGTCCATAGATAGTTGTTTTGGTATACTTGTGTGTTCTTCTAACTTTTTTGTCTTATTGTGCTGGGAAACAAGAATTCTATGTCAATAGAAACGAATGTTTCCCCTTTCCTAATATGGAATTGTTAACTCTGTCTTTAAAATCTACCATTGTAATTTGAGTCCGTTGTCAGATTTTATAATATTTTAATAATATATTTGCACAGCCGGTAAGAAGGAGATCCGATGGAGCAACACATTGGCCTCAGTAGTGTTCCTTTCTTATGTATCTTCGGAAGTCCATGTATTCCGAAGGTACCCCTGTTGTCGTAGTCATCTTATTTCTTTCGTCCTTTGAAGAAAAACCCATCTTGAATAATTTTGCACGAAGTTGTTATTCCTTGTCTGTAGTCTTGATGTCGGACCCTGCCTTAGTGTTCTATACGCGCATAAGTCGTCTAAAATATTTGTCATTTTATTTTTGTAATCGTCCACATTCATTGCTTTTTTGTTACATTTATCTGATAATAAGATTTTTATATTTTTATGTTCATTACAGAATTTACGTGTCTGTTCCACTGTCACCAATATTGCTCGATCCCTAGTGTTTTGGTTATTCTTAGTTTTATGCTCTTTAACCAATAGAGAGAATTTGGTGCGCGCCCCTTGTGTTTCTTTTTCTTTTATTTTTTGAACTAACTCTTCACCGTCTGTAATGTATTTTAAAAGAGGGAAATCTCTTTTATTAATCGGGCGAACTTCGGCCACTTTGCGAGTAATGCTTCTATGTTTGGCGGGAATTGTTGTTCTATGTTTGTTTTTGCTGATTCCATATGTTTCGTTTGCTTTTATCATAGTTTGTGTTTGTGATTTATAAGTAAGTTAATTATTTTGGTGTGGTAAATATGTGTGTGTCTAGTCAATGCTCTTTTTATGTCAGGGTGGGTTTTGTTGTCACTCGTCAGAATAGACAAATGCTTTGTCAAGTTTTTTAAGAAGTTAGGTATTAAGTTCGATTTCCTACATTTTAACAAAAATGTTAAGCTAGATTTAAGTTTGGTTAATTTTACCAATGTTAATTGGAATTTGTTAATTGTTCTTTGTGAATGCTTATATTTAGTTTTGATTTCTGCGTAGCTCATGTTTGCTATTTAATGATGGTTTTGGCGTCCTTTCCATAATATATTTATATAGTTGGGTGGCTCGAAGAATAATATTTTCTCTACTAACGCTTTCCATCTTAGCTGTAGGCTCTTATAACGTAGCTGACAAAAAACTATGAACAAGTAAAATGTTCTATTCGGGATTCCCAGACCCCTCTTATTCCAACACCAATGCAAATATCGAAACGCGCTACACGCTCGTTTGTAGTAATAAAGATAAATTTAAAAAAAGTGCCCTTTGCAGGTTTCGAACTCGCAACTGACCGCATTACTTGCTGTCGACTCTACTCAACAGTCACACCAGCAAAAAAAAAAAAAATACTTTCCCCGGTAGGGCTCGAGCTCGCGACAGACCGCACTACTTGCTATGCCTCTACTCAGCAGCCACACCAATTAAAAAAAAAAAAAAGATGCAATTACCATGCCATAGACTGCGAAGCAGACGCGCATGAATTTGTGTGTACGTATACAGAAATTCTTAAAGCTACTGCCCCATTCAATTGCGCAGTTGCATATAACTTTGGTTTTTCTTAACCGATTATTATGACTTTTTTTACAGTATATCTTCTTGTACCATAGAATATTTGTGTATTCTGAAAAAGTCAATTGCATTTAAATTGTAGTTTAAATTGGTTGGCAATAAAAGTTAGGTTAATAACTTGATTTATAGCCCTGTGGTGGTAGCGGGAAGGTGGCGATAGGTAGGAAATGAAAGATACTTGAAATATCTATAATATTCTAAAAGCAACATATCAAGTTTGGTGATTCTACCTCTTAATATTTACATAATTTGGTCAAAAATTTGATGTTGATATCGATTCTTATCGATTGCTTGAAAACGGAGTAAGTTATCGATTATCGAAAACAAACTCGCTAGAGCAGGCAGGAGCAGACTCCTTAGCTCTTAGAGGGACGGACAGACAGGACATGGCTAGATCGACTTGGCTATTGATGCTGATCAAGAGTATATACTTTATGCGGTCGGAGATGCTTCCTTCTGCCTGTTACATATATTTACATTTGCACAAAAACAATATACCCTTGTTACCCATTTTCAATGGGTTAAGGATATAAAATCATATCTTTAGTTTCGATTGTCAAATCTAAAAATCATAGGGATATTAACACATTACTAACACAAAAGTTTCGCTCATCGTCTTCTTGACAATGTCGAACAAGATATCAAGGCATACAAATTTATATAGGAATATCAGCTTGGAACATATTCTATCAGATAAGACCACAGCGTCTATGTTTCGTTTGTGTGCTTAACCTTGATAGGACAAGATAGGACAAGCACAAAATTGAGTGCATTATACGAAATCAACATCTGAATTCTCACATTTCACCGCTCTGCTTTAATTCCGATATTTTATGACACATGCGGTGACACATACAAAATTTACCAATATTTGAAAGTTTCCCGCCCTGATGAATTTCTACAACACAGATTATATCACGACGACTCTGTAGAAGCCTACTAGTGAGACACGTAAACATATGGTATGAAGACCAGCGCCTTATATCTATAGTTATTCGATGGGATTTTTGTAAGGACAATCTAAATTGTTTAATTGCTCTATGGGTGGTTTTTCGAATTTTATCATCTTGCTGTTTAATTCTCAAAAATTCTGCCTAATGGACCAGTTGCTAAGTATACCAGCATCTAGCATCAGCTACCAGAACTTATTCATTCCCAATTCTATCACAATATCAAAAGTATTCAGTCAAACATTACATGGATAAAATGGATATAAACATGGATTCCAGTGCATACTCAGATTATACATATGTGTATGTGTCCAATCGAGTGATACACATAAATGACAAATGAAACTCTTTCTTTTATCCACAGATTCTGACTGCTATACAAAAGAAAAGTCTAGGCCTTAGACGAAATTTGACTACTGACACTAACCATACGATGCATAGATACACCAAACAGCGTTTTTATATGAAGCCGCATCTCGCTCAGTGCACTACGTGGCTACGGCTGATGCTTTTTCCCAATATATGCTTACAAGTTTTAAATCCTACAGCCCAAATACATACATACATACATTTGTGTTTATGCATGTGCAGAGTGTGCCTCGCTCTCACTTATTGCTCATTGCGCACTAGTGTGCATCTCTTTATCCCTGCATAGCTTCACAAAAAACCCCATATATTAAGAAAAAGCATCAGCCGCAGCCACGTCATGCAGAACGTTCGGCTTTCGAGGCCAAATGGATTTTAAGCTCGCGACCCTTAAATTGCTTTTAATAAAGGTGTGTAGAGTAGATTCTACTTTCAACAGGATTTGTATTTTCATTCACGATATGAACTTTGAGTTGACGAAAATACGGTTTGAACAAAAAGGTAGATTGCACTTTGCAAGAATGTTCGAACAAGCAACAAAAAAACAATAGCTGGCAAAATATTTACACATACAAACTCGATCTCCTAGAGGCGAAGCTGAGCGACCTGCGGCGAAAGCGCAGACTCACCAATTTTCAAAGAAACCATTGAAGAATCAGTAATGTCATAACATTTTGAAAGACAAGCATTAAAGAGGTGGTTAGGTTTATACCAAAAATTGTCTGGAGGCCGCTAAATTTATTATGGTTGTCGCCCAGAAGCAACATTAACGACAGCCGGCGACTTGTGATATAAGAAAGTATTGTTTACGAAAAAAAATTCATGCACTCATATAAGTTAACACTTCGTCCGCTATGAATGCATACATTACACATCGAAAATGTTATAAACCACCGCTTTTTAAAGCATGCGCCTAAAATCTTTGAAATATCTAAACCAGGTGCGATATTTATTAAATTGGGGGATTTGGGGTATTTAGGAATAAAAAATAACTAATCAACTTATTCTGCTTTGCGAAAATTATTTATCAAATTTAAGCTTAATTTTAAAGCCTCTAAGATTGACCGGCGCACGGACGGCTACGGTAAGCAGCTTCGAAACTCAACCTGTCTATATAGATTGTAAGTGGATCAGAATGTTCAGCATCTATTGGCTAGATAAAATAATTGCTTTGTATTTTTACACCCAAAGATTATCTTATTTATTACTTCATTTTATTAATATTGAAAAAAATTATATTTAAAATTCTAGTGTTGAATACCTCTTTCAGATTTATCGTAATATACGCAAATACCGACACATTTGAGTGGAAAACCTGAACTAACCGCCCTGTTCATGAGCAAGTTTTGTTTTGCCCTTACTACGTGAATATGTATCACATTGATATAAAAATTAATTAATTTACCCACATGCCGTATGTATTACTACAATAGACCAATTTAAAGCGTATACGTGTTGTCAATTGGATTAAATTATTTCGAGCTCTCGTGAACACTTTTATGCATGTAGATAAGTATTAAGATTCAAATTTGCGTTCCTACTTGACTTTCCAGAAATTCGACTGCTGTGTACAAGACTAATTCAAAACAAGTAAGAGGTTCTTGTCGGGAGCTCCCGACTAGGGTCTACCCTGAACCCTCTAATTCCAACACCAAATAAATTAATAAAAAGAAGTTCCCTTGGCAGGGCTCGAATTTGCAACTAACCGCATTACTTACTGTCGACTCCACTCAACAGCCCACCAGCAAAAAAAAAAAAAATAATAATACTTTCCTCGGTAAGGCTCGAACTCGCGACAGACCGCACCACTTGCTATGCCTCTACTCAGCAACCACACCAACAATTAAGTACTTATGATAAAAAAGGAACTAAAATAGCATTACAGAAAACAGTCGCATAGACCATGCTATTAGAATGCGAAGCAGACGCGCATGAATGTGTGTGTGTACATGTATACAGAAATTCTTAAAGCTGCTGCCCCATTCAATTCCGCAGTTGCATATAAATTTGGGTTTTCTTAACCAATCTTTATGAAATTTTCTACAGTATATCTTATTGTACCATAGAATATTTGTGTATTCTTACAAAAAATCAATTGCATTTAAATTGTGGTTTAAATTGGTTAGCAATAAAAGTTGGGTTATTAACTTGATTTATAGCTCTTGGGTGGTAGCGGGGAGGTGGCGATAGGTATGAAATGAAAGATACTTGAAATATCTATAATATTCTAGAAGCAACATATTATGTTTGGGGGCTCTAGCTCTTATTATTTACCCAATTTGCTAAAAAAAACAGGATGTCGATATTGATTTTTATCGATTGCTTGGAAACGGAGTAAGTTATCGATTATCGGAAACAAACTCGATCTGCGCGGGAACTAGGAGCATCTACATCTAAAATTAGAAATTCTAAAATTCAAGTCTTTAGCTCTTATAGGTTCTGAGATCCTTTGACTCATACATACGGACGGACGGACGGAGAGACAGACGGACATGGCTAGATCGACACGGCTATTAATGTTGATCAAGAATATATATACTTTATGGGGTCGGAGATGCTTCCTTCTGCCTGTTACATACATTTGGATTTTGCACAAATACAATATACCCTTATACCCATTTTTAATGGGCTCAAGGTATAAAAAAAGTTCCCTTGGCAGGGTTCGAACTCGCAACTGACCGCATTACTTGCTGTTGATTCTACTCAACAGCCACACCAGCCAAAAAAAAATTGTTTCCCCGGTAGGGCTTGAGCTCGCGACGTCAATGAGTATTATTGAAAAAAAAAAAACAATTAAAATAGCAGCACAGAAAACAATCGCAATTGCAATGCTGTTGATAGAATTCGAAGCAGACGCGCATGAATGTGTGTGTGTACATGTATACAGAATGTCTTGCAATTTGCGCTAGCTGCCCTTTGATTTTTCTTAACCGATCTTAATAAAATTTTCTACAGTATATCTTATTGTACCATAGAATATTTGTGTATTCTCAAAAATTCAATTGCATTTAAATTGTGTCTTATATTGGTGGGCAGCAGAAATAGGTTTATTAACTTATTTAGAGGAATCGTTGTGGTCACTAATGTGAAAAAAAATTCTAAAACAATTTGCATATAAATATGTACATATAGCTGCATACATACATAGCTGTATGTCGACACTTATATGCTGATAATCCCAACATGTCTGAGTGATACAGAGCGATACTGATTCAGCAATCCATACACACATATGTATGAGCGTACATACATGTGTATGGATTGCTGAATCAGTAATACGACGCACTGAGAAGAATCATATGGCACCTTTATCATTATTAAATCCATACATGAACGCGGCTATGTGGACCGTATTAAGAAATGAAGAACAGTTTTTATCCAATTATAACTGATGCTGTTGCGATTTTTCTAACCTCTGTTTGTGAAAGTGATGAGCAATTTAATAGGATCTAACCAGAAAAAAATTTTTATTTTATTTTCTCGGTTTTTATTTATAATCCTAATCCTAGGACAATAAATAAATTGCTAAGAAAATAAAGGAAGATTTAATAAAATAATAATCAGTTCAAGCAATATATTTATATTACATTTTAGTTTGTTTTTTTTAGCTTGATTTATGACTATATGTGGATGATCCAGTATTTTTAAGACCAAAAGGAAACGGGCAAAATTTGTACTTCGCTTTATTAACAGAAAACGCAGTCTTTTCTCGGTCTTTTTATGCTAATTATATCTGGTGGAAGAGAGATTTCAAATCTAAGAGTGTAAAATAGTGTGCCTTTCCCATATTTGACAGTATAGTCGAAATAGAGGGTATAGGGTATTTGTCGTCGATAGTATTCTGATTTAGTTTTCGAAAATCAATAACAAATAGTTTTTTCTATGACCCGCTTCATCAATACCTTTTATGTCTACAACCTAAATGGTGTTATAGTAGAGGGACTTGGACGACCCGTTCTCCCGTTCGCGAGACGTTGTTAACTTCTGCGTTGACAAAGTTGGGGTTGGGGTAGAGCTTCGAGTATACAGGCTCCCCTTCCGTACGTATGGTGGCTATTGTATTGATATTGTAACGCAGAGACTCGTTTAGATCCGCAAAAGCCTTTGTTATTCTTTAATAGCTTTAATAGCGGCTGGTACATCGTCGCTATCAATTTTTATGAAGTTCACATTTTGAAACTTCGTAAATTGCAAGGACTCCGAACAATGATTAAATTCGATAACATTTTTTACTACAACTGCAACTTGTATTTGTGCAATATCTAAATGTATGTAACAGGCAGAAGGAAGCATCTCCGACCCCATAAAGTATATATATTCTTGATCAGCACCAATAGCCGAGTCGATCTAGCCATGTCCGTCTAACTGTCCGTCCGTCCGTATGAATGAACATAAGGATCTCAAAGCCTATACGAGCTAGAGACTTAGATGTAGGTGCTTCTAGTGCCTACGCAGATCGATTTTTTTCCGATAATCGATAACTTACTCCGTTTCCAAGCAATCGATAAAAATCTATATCGGTATCCTGTTTTTTGGGCAATTTTGGCAAATAATAAGAGCTGGAGTCACCAAACTTGGCATATAGCTTATAAAATAGAATATATATATGCATTTGATGTTGGAAGAAGAGGGTTCAGGGTATCCCCTAGTCGGGAGCTCCCGACTATAACCTCTTGTTATAATTACTTTTTTCTAAAGATTAAATCCAATGATCCTATCAAACTCTTTTTAACGGTCTTGTATGCTTATATGTTTTATATGTATGTTTTAGTATGTTTTAGTATTAAAGAGGTGAATTAAGCATTTCATGAGCTTGCTATAAGGAATCGACACTTAGCAACTGGCCTTAAGTGGGCTAAAACGGACAGTGGCTTAATAAAGTTTTTGGAGGCGCCTGAGATACAGCAGCCTCATAATTTGCACCGCCACCGTATGAGTTATGTACCGGAGGATGGAGTTTCCCCTAAAAAATTACAGCTTTCGGCGTCAGAATATTCTCCTCAGCAGCAATCGGATCGGACTTAGCTTGGTTTTTA